TAGTAGTAGTAGTAGTAGTAGTAGTAAAAGCGAAGCGAAGCTTCCGATCAATACCGGCATTCAGCAGATTTCTATTGACTTTCGAATCAGAAGACTCTCGAGAGAGGGAGTACCTCAAGACAATCCTACACCGCATATATGGTGAGTCCTGATAGGACTGGCAGCGGAGCGAAGGTCTGACATTTGGTGGTCAGGTAAAATGATGCCCATGCGGGCTTTTATCCGTCGCTCGCTACAGCACTCCCTCTTGCGTGTTACCAGTGAATCAGCTGAGCACAACGGCGTAGCTGAGATGCTGGAGATTCTGGGTTCGATAATTAACGGATTTGCTATTCCACTCAAGGAGGAGCACAAGCTGTTCCTCGAAAAGTCTCTAATGCCTCTGCACACCGTAAGCGCCAGTGTTCGAGGAATATGTGTTCGCTTTTCTCAGCTGAGCTCGGGAAATTTTCCCTATAAAATCCACGGGGACCAATGAGAATTTCCCGAAATTTCCTCAGAATTTTCGTATCGCCACCAACAAATGTATTTTCCCACATTGCTAAGCGCTATAGCATATCATCGTCAGGCTCGATCCCTCAACTCGTTCTTCCAGCCGCTCTCTTACTGCATCACACAGTACGTTGAAAAAGACCCTCGGCTGGCCACGATGGTCATTAAAGGTGCCAAGCGGAAGCCTCTCATTCTGTCTTGTATAGTGTTGGAATATACGTTGATGCGATTGGAAGATTTCTACCATATATCTGTATATGTTGGAATATAAGTTCACTCATGAATTCGAGTAGAAGCATTGGTAAACTAACAAAAGTTTTCAAGAATTTCCTCGAAATTTCTGTATACACATGAAGTTTACAATGTGCACATTTTGCCACACTATAAGACTGTTATATAGAGTATCATTCAGGACTACTGCGTTTCTGGCCGGCGACGAGCCCATCAAAGGAGGTTCAGTTCCTCACTGTGATGGAGGAAGTTCTCGAAGTGCCTTTTGAGCTTTCCATGATCTCGCTGACAGTCTCCTTGTTTCAGCTCACTCAAACACCAGAACTAGAAGTGATAAAGTTGGCTCTCTTCAAGAGGCTATCTAAATGCCTCGTCAGTTCCCATTTCCAGGTAGGATAATGGTGTAGTTGTACGGAGATCTTAGCTTAGCTTTATTAAGCTAGTTGATGATTTTACGAGTGTAGTTGTAGATAGAATCTCTAGATCCCATTAACCGTTGCCGTGAGTTCCATAATGGTAAGCACTTCACCAGGAGCTTACTCAACTTAACCAGGATTCGATAACAATGGGGAAAATGTTCCTAATGTGATGATGACATTTACATGGGAAACTGATTGAAGAATGTGTTCCTGGCCATACGTGGGAAATTGAAAATAAGAACGTTATAGGTTCGTGGATGATTCGCTTCTCTCGAGCGCTGAATAAGTGGTTGTTTATCTCAGGTAGCCGAGAGAGCTCTGTTCTACTGGAACAACGACTCCATCGTGCGTATCATCAATGATAATCGACGCATAGTCTTCCCTATAATTGTTGGCCCTCTGTGAGCCGCTGGTGGTGATGGAGAGAATCTTTGTGCGCATGCGTGCTAAGTTAGGTATGATAATTCATTAACACATTGGAATAGTACAATACATGGGCTTACCTGCAACGTATTGAAGTTGTTGATGGAGGCTGATCCTCCTCTTTATGATTCCTGCAGTGCTGCCCATCGTTCGCAGTCTACCACGTGATCAGATATCATGCTTGTCTCAGCGTATAGCTACAGCTCAGGTCGGGCGAGTCGCTGCGAGAGTCGCGATGGGGCTTCTTGGAGAAAAGTTATGAAACCTTTGCACAAGTGCATGATGAACGAGCAATGGCGGGATAATCGATTCCCTTTTGAATTCGTAAGCATCCGCTGGGCGTGAAAAACAGTTGCACGCATACACACAATTAAAAATGGTGGAAGTATGAAACCGTATTCGTATGTAGAGTTGTACAATTACAGTGAGGAACTCCTGAGCTCAGCAGCTGAGAAAGCGAAATATGTTCAAATACTACATTATTACACTACTTATACATGATGACAATTGTATCCTCATGTCTCCGCTGT